CCACTCTCTGAACGTCTTTCTCCTGCCGAAGTCTCTCTTTCTCAAGCTATGACGCCCGGCGTCATTGACTAATCTACACGGCTGCCACTCAACTTCGATTTGCGCTCTATAGTGCTGTAGCTTTGTAGCACAAGACTGCTACAGCGCTCCCGCAGCAAGCTCGAATGCAAATTGTGTTGATGCCTTGCTGCCGCTGGACTTCTGCAGTTCCCAATCTTGGACTGGACTTTTGTGGAACCACTGCCGCTGAAATGGTATCTGCCTTCCCTTTTTTTTGGAACAGGCATCTTCTTGGAAATTGTGTTGATGCCTTGCTGCCGCTGGACTTCTGCAGTTCCCAATCTTGGACTGGACTTTTGTGGAACCACTGCCGCTGAAATGGTATCTGCCTTCCCTTTTTTTTGGAACAGGCATCTTCTTGGAAATTGTGTTGATGCCTTGCTGCCGCTGGACTTCTGCAGTTCCCAATCTTGGACTGGACTTTTGTGGAACCACTGCCGCTGAAATGGTATCTGCCTTCCCTTTTTTTTGGAACAGGCATCTTCTTGGAAATTGTGTTGATGCCTTGCTGCCGCTGGACTTCTGCAGTTCCCAATCTTGGACTGGACTTTTGTGGAACCACTGCCGCTGAAATGGTATCTGCCTTCCCTTTTTTTTGGAACAGGCATCTTCTTGGAAATTGTGTTGATGCCTTGCTGCCGCTGGACTTCTGCAGTTCCCAATCTTGGACTGGACTTTTGTGGAACCACTGCCGCTGAAATGGTATCTGCCTTCCCTTTTTTTTGGAACAGGCATCTTCTTGGAAATTGTGTTGATGCCTTGCTGCCGCTGGACTTCTGCAGTTCCCAATCTTGGACTGGACTTTTGTGGAACCACTGCCGCTGAAATGGTATCTGCCTTCCCTTTTTTTTGGAACAGGCATCTTCTTGGAAATTGTGTTGATGCCTTGCTGCCGCTGGACTTCTGCAGTTCCCAATCTTGGACTGGACTTTTGTGGAACCACTGCCGCTGAAATGGTATCTGCCTTCCCTTTTTTTTGGAACAGGCATCTTCTTGGAAATTGTGTTGATGCCTTGCTGCCGCTGGACTTCTGCAGTTCCCAATCTTGGACTGGACTTTTGTGGAACCACTGCCGCTGAAATGGTATCTGCCTTCCCTTTTTTTTGGAACAGGCATCTTCTTGGAAATTGTGTTGATGCCTTGCTGCCGCTGGACTTCTGCAGTTCCCAATCTTGGACTGGACTTTTGTGGAACCACTGCCGCTGAAATGGTATCTGCCTTCCCTTTTTTTTGGAACAGGCATCTTCTTGGAAATTGTGTTGATGCCTTGCTGCCGCTGGACTTCTGCAGTTCCCAATCTTGGACTGGACTTTTGTGGAACCACTGCCGCTGAAATGGTATCTGCCTTCCCTTTTTTTTGGAACAGGCATCTTCTTGGAAATTGTGTTGATGCCTTGCTGCCGCTGGACTTCTGCAGTTCCCAATCTTGGACTGGACTTTTGTGGAACCACTGCCGCTGAAATGGTATCTGCCTTCCCTTTTTTTTGGAACAGGCATCTTCTTGGAAATTGTGTTGATGCCTTGCTGCCGCTGGACTTCTGCAGTTCCCAATCTTGGACTGGACTTTTGTGGAACCACTGCCGCTGAAATGGTATCTGCCTTCCCTTTTTTTTGGAACAGGCATCTTCTTGGAAATTGTGTTGATGCCTTGCTGCCGCTGGACTTCTGCAGTTCCCAATCTTGGACTGGACTTTTGTGGAACCACTGCCGCTGAAATGGTATCTGCCTTCCCTTTTTTTTGGAACAGGCATCTTCTTGGAAATTGTGTTGATGCCTTGCTGCCGCTGGACTTCTGCAGTTCCCAATCTTGGACTGGACTTTTGTGGAACCACTGCCGCTGAAATGGTATCTGCCTTCCCTTTTTTTTGGAACAGGCATCTTCTTGGAAATTGTGTTGATGCCTTGCTGCCGCTGGACTTCTGCAGTTCCCAATCTTGGACTGGACTTTTGTGGAACCACTGCCGCTGAAATGGTATCTGCCTTCCCTTTTTTTTGGAACAGGCATCTTCTTGGAAATTGTGTTGATGCCTTGCTGCCGCTGGACTTCTGCAGTTCCCAATCTTGGACTGGACTTTTGTGGAACCACTGCCGCTGAAATGGTATCTGCCTTCCCTTTTTTTTGGAACAGGCATCTTCTTGGAAATTGTGTTGATGCCTTGCTGCCGCTGGACTTCTGCAGTTCCCAATCTTGGACTGGACTTTTGTGGAACCACTGCCGCTGAAATGGTATCTGCCTTCCCTTTTTTTTGGAACAGGCATCTTCTTGGAAATTGTGTTGATGCCTTGCTGCCGCTGGACTTCTGCAGTTCCCAATCTTGGACTGGACTTTTGTGGAACCACTGCCGCTGAAATGGTATCTGCCTTCCCTTTTTTTTGGAACAGGCATCTTCTTGGAAATTGTGTTGATGCCTTGCTGCCGCTGGACTTCTGCAGTTCCCAATCTTGGACTGGACTTTTGTGGAACCACTGCCGCTGAAATGGTATCTGCCTTCCCTTTTTTTTGGAACAGGCATCTTCTTGGAAATTGTGTTGATGCCTTGCTGCCGCTGGACTTCTGCAGTTCCCAATCTTGGACTGGACTTTTGTGGAACCACTGCCGCTGAAATGGTATCTGCCTTCCCTTTTTTTTGGAACAGGCATCTTCTTGGAAATTGTGTTGATGCCTTGCTGCCGCTGGACTTCTGCAGTTCCCAATCTTGGACTGGACTTTTGTGGAACCACTGCCGCTGAAATGGTATCTGCCTTCCCTTTTTTTTGGAACAGGCATCTTCTTGGAAATTGTGTTGATGCCTTGCTGCCGCTGGACTTCTGCAGTTCCCAATCTTGGACTGGACTTTTGTGGAACCACTGCCGCTGAAATGGTATCTGCCTTCCCTTTTTTTTGGAACAGGCATCTTCTTGGAAATTGTGTTGATGCCTTGCTGCCGCTGGACTTCTGCAGTTCCCAATCTTGGACTGGACTTTTGTGGAACCACTGCCGCTGAAATGGTATCTGCCTTCCCTTTTTTTTGGAACAGGCATCTTCTTGGAAATTGTGTTGATGCCTTGCTGCCGCTGGACTTCTGCAGTTCCCAATCTTGGACTGGACTTTTGTGGAACCACTGCCGCTGAAATGGTATCTGCCTTCCCTTTTTTTTGGAACAGGCATCTTCTTGGAAATTGTGTTGATGCCTTGCTGCCGCTGGACTTCTGCAGTTCCCAATCTTGGACTGGACTTTTGTGGAACCACTGCCGCTGAAATGGTATCTGCCTTCCCTTTTTTTTGGAACAGGCATCTTCTTGGAAATTGTGTTGATGCCTTGCTGCCGCTGGACTTCTGCAGTTCCCAATCTTGGACTGGACTTTTGTGGAACCACTGCCGCTGAAATGGTATCTGCCTTCCCTTTTTTTTGGAACAGGCATCTTCTTGGAAATTGTGTTGATGCCTTGCTGCCGCTGGACTTCTGCAGTTCCCAATCTTGGACTGGACTTTTGTGGAACCACTGCCGCTGAAATGGTATCTGCCTTCCCTTTTTTTTGGAACAGGCATCTTCTTGGAAATTGTGTTGATGCCTTGCTGCCGCTGGACTTCTGCAGTTCCCAATCTTGGACTGGACTTTTGTGGAACCACTGCCGCTGAAATGGTATCTGCCTTCCCTTTTTTTTGGAACAGGCATCTTCTTGGAAATTGTGTTGATGCCTTGCTGCCGCTGGACTTCTGCAGTTCCCAATCTTGGACTGGACTTTTGTGGAACCACTGCCGCTGAAATGGTATCTGCCTTCCCTTTTTTTTGGAACAGGCATCTTCTTGGAAATTGTGTTGATGCCTTGCTGCCGCTGGACTTCTGCAGTTCCCAATCTTGGA